TGCAATTATAATTGCGGGAATGGGATTCTTTACGGATGCGTACGATCTTTTCTGCATCTCTCTTGTAACTAAAATGCTTGGCCGGATATATTACCACGTTGAAGGGTCATCAAAACCAGGCAGTTTGCCTCCCAACGTATCTGCTGCTGTCAACGGTGTTGCCCTCTGTGGAACACTTGCTGGCCAGCTCTTCTTCGGGTGGTTGGGTGACAAATTGGGTCGAAAGAGGGTGTATGGTGTCACACTCATGCTAATGTCTATGTGCTCCCTTGCATCGGGCCTTTCTTTTGGCAAAGATCCTAAATCAGTAATGGCTACTCTCTGTTTTTTTCGATTCTGGCTTGGCTTCGGCATTGGTGGCGATTATCCACTTTCGGCAACAATTATGTCTGAATACGCGAATAAGAAAACTCGCGGTGCTTTCATAGCTGCGGTGTTTGCAATGCAAGGTTTTGGGATTCTGTCTGGTGGTGTGTTTGCAATGATAGTCTCGGCTGCATTTGATGCCAGATTCAAGGCTCCAGCATATGCGGTTGACCCAATTGGCTCGACTGTCCCACAGGCAGATTATGTTTGGAGAATCATTTTGATGGCGGGTGCTCTTCCGGCTTTACTCACTTATTATTGGCGACTGAAAATGCCCGAAACTGCTCGTTACACTGCCCTTGTCGCCAAGAATGCGCAACAGGCTGCATCAGATATGTCTAAAGTTTTACAAGTGGACATTGAGGCTGAACAGCAAAAGGTGGAACAAATAGTCGAAAAACAAAAGAATTCTTTCGGTTTATTCACAAGGGAATTCCTTCGTCGCCATGGACTTCACTTGCTCGGCACCACAAGCACGTGGTTCTTGCTCGACATTGCATATTACAGCCAAAATTTGTTCCAGAAGGATATTTTCAGCACAATTGGATGGATTCCGTCAGCAAAGACAATGAATGCTGTTGAAGAGGTTTATACAATTGCAAGAGCACAAACGCTTATCGCCCTTTGCAGTACTGTCCCGGGATACTGGTTTACTGTGGCTCTGATTGATAGAATAGGAAGATTTGCTATTCAATTACTGGGATTCTCCATGATGACAATCTTCATGTTTGCTTTGGCCATTCCCTACGACCACTGGACACACAAAGGCAACCACATTGGATTCGTGGTTTTGTATTCCTTAACCTTCTTTTTCGCAAACTTTGGACCTAATGCGACAACCTTCGTCGTGCCTGCTGAGATTTTCCCTGCTAGATTACGATCCACCTGCCATGGAATCTCTGCTGCATCTGGAAAAATGGGAGCAATAATTGGTGCTTTTGGGTTCTTGTATCTGGCTCAAAACCAAGACAAGGCAAAGGCTGATGCAGGGTATCCAGCAGGAATCGGCATGAGAAATTCACTCATCGTGTTAGGCGTAGTGAATCTTTTGGGCTTATTATTCAGCTTCTTGGTCCCGGAATCGAAGGGGAAATCTCTAGAGGAGATGTCAGGTGAAAATGACGATATGAATGAGGCAAGTAGCAATAAAACAGTTCCAGCTGTATGAAGGATATGCTAGCAGCTACTAATACTCTGCTTATTGCTCTAATTTTTTTTGTTTTTTTGCGAGGTAGTTGGTTGAGGTTAAGCTTTTGAATTTGTAATTGCATTACAATTTATAAAGAGAGTAATACTATTATTTTCCTGAACTTAAGTACTTTTTGTAACGCTCACAATTCGCAAAAGTTCTCTGTATGTAAATTGTCAAACAGTGTAAGATTGAACAAGTCACCGGAGATCAGATCGTCCAAGCCTACTCTTTTCTGTCATGATACAATTTTACTTCTTAATTTGACACGATAAAACGAGAAAAGAAAAAAACTCTTCATGGTGTTGCAATTTTGGTTGAAATGTGCTTAGTATAGAGGCTGTTTTCGAATTTAAGGTGTTAAACCTTCGATTATGAGCAAATATTGGACTGTGGTACGTAGAAAATTATAGCGGTTGTCCTCATTCTTTGTACCCAACTTTAATTTTTTTAATGCGTGTATCTTTGTATTTCCATGGATGGATTTCATTTGAAAATATTCAAAAAACGACCGTGCACCAAGTTACATATTTTTGGACGAACAAATTCTGTGAATGAGGTTACAAATAAATCCAAGGACCTTGCTTGGTGTACATAATTTTTGTACATAAGTGTGTTATTTCCTTCACATGGGTGGGACCCACAGGGTATCATTTCCCTCACATGGAACGGACATTCTTATCTACACTTTTTTTATGTACACCAAGTATAATTCTAAATCCAATAAGTTAAAAGGATGGATTGGAGACAGACATGAAAAACAGTGTAAAGGTTGAAGAAGGTACCCAGAATTTTTTTGGGTCCCACCCCATGTGAGGGAAATGACAACCTTATGTACACTTTTTTTTGTTCACCAAGCATAATTCTAAATCCAATAAGTTAAA